TGCAACTTTTCATTCCTTCTGCTAGGTAATACTGACAAGAGATGTTTGTTGTTGATGTTAAATGCCATCAAGTCGGTGCTGATTCATACCAACCCTGTGTTTCCAAGGAGCCGCTGGTGTGGGTTTGAACTGTTGACCTTTTGGTTTGCAGTTTAGTGCTGACCCTATAGCTCCATACCAGGAGTACTTTAATAGACTGGCTACTTTAAACATAGTATACTGTCAAAACTCTGTATCATTGGTCAAAAGGGGGTAGGAAAAAGAAAAAGAACTTCAATATAGAAATAAACAGAGTTAAAAACTTATCATCTACAAATATTTTGTGTTTTTCACTATTTAATACAAATATACACTATTTCATAGATATAAATGAATAACTTAAATATAGATTAAAGATTAAAGTGGCTTTACCCGCCATAATTTTACAATAAGGAGAAAATTAATTTTACTGCTCCTTGGAAACTCTATACAGGGTCGCTATGGGTTGGAATCGCCTCGGCGGCACTTAACAACAACAACTTCAGAATTAATTCTAAAAACTTATTCACAAATAACCCATTTGCCCACATAAAGCCCCTCTAGTACGTAGCAAGCATCAGTATTTTACCAAATCAAAGATGGAAAACAAAACCTGCTGGACACTGATCACTAAAATAATGCCAGAAATTTAAGCTGAATTCAGACAAGGGCATGAACTGGGACATCACTGCTGAATTCAGATGGATCTTGGTTGAACATAGAGACTACAAGAAAGACATTTACATGTACTTTATTGACTTTGCAAAGATTTTGACTATGTGAACCATGACAACTATGGATAACACTGTGAAGAATGGCTATTCCAGAACAATTACTTGTGCTCATGAAGATTCTGTAGACAGAACAAGAGGCAGTTGTTAGAACAGAACAAGGGAATAGAAAAATGATTTAAAATCAGCAAAGGTGTGTGCCAAGGTTGTATCCATTCACCACACTTATCCAATCTGGTGTTGTTTAGTGCCACTGAGTTGGCTTTGACTCATAGCAAACCTGTATGGGGCTCCCGAGGAGTGGTATTTGAACCACTGACCTTGTGGTCCAAAAAATCAGAGCTGTATTATATATAGAAGAGCGTGGCAATAAGATTGGAAGAAGGCTCATTAACAATCTGTGATATTCAGATGATACAACCATGCTTGCTGGAAGTGAAGAGGACTTAACATATTTACTGATGAAGATCAGTGACTATTGTCTTCAGTATGGATTGCATTTCAAAGTAAAGAAAACAAAGAACCTGACAATGGACCAATAAATAACATCATAATAGATAGAGAAAAGACTTCATTTTGCTGGGATCCAAAACCAACCATCATGGAAGCAGCATCCAATAAATCAAATGTTGTATGGCATTAAGCAGTTCTACTGCATAAGTCCTCTTTAAAGTGTTCAAGAGCACAGATATCAGTTTGAGGACTAAGGTGCACCTAACTCAAGCCATGATACTTTTAATCACCTCCTACACATGTGAGAGTTGGACAATGAAGAAGAAATACTGTAGAAGAATCAATGCATTTGAACTATGGTGGTGGAGAAAATATTAAATGTACCCTGGGGTCTGCCAGAAGAACAAACAAATCCGTATTATAAGCACAGACAGAATTCTCCTTAGAAGCCAGGATGGCAAGGTTTTATCTCCCATACTTAGACATGTTATTAGGAAGTACCAGTCCCAGAAGAAAGACATCGTGTTTGGTAAAGTGGAAGAGGTCAACAAAAAGAGGAAGACCCCCACCCCCCTCAAGGAGATGTATTGACACAGTGGCATCAGCAATGGATTCAAACATAAAAACAATTGTGAGATGGTGCAGGATCTGATAGTGTTTCCTTCTGTTGTGCATAGGGTGCTATGAGTCTGCTGTGACTGGACAGAAGCTCTCAACAACTGATCAGTATCACAAAATGCAAAAAGGTTTACTAAAATGTGTACTCTAATTCCACTCAATGAGACAAACTACGGCAAAAATGTTTCTCTTAGTAGTTGCTTAATTTTTAATCTATATAGCACTCAACCAAAACCAAACCCACTAATACCAAGTTGATTCTAACTCATAGCGATCCTATGAAATTATCCTACAGAATTTCCAAAGCTATAAGCTTTATGAAAGCAGACTGCCACATTTTCTTCTATGGAGTGGCTGCTAACCACCAATTTTTTCATTAGCAGCCAAGTACTTTAACCATTATGCCAGCAAAACTTTTTCTATAAAGCAGTGCTGTTAATGTTAAGTGTCTTCAAGTCAGCAATGAGGAGCGGCTGGGGGATTTGAACTGTGACCTTGTGGTTCAAATCAACCTTGTGATACAGTCTTATCCTATAGCACAACACCAGGATGTTGTTAAGTGCTGCTGAGTCTGTTCTGACTCACAGTGACCCTGTGAAGGGTTTCCAAGGAGCGGCTGGTGGGTTTGAATTGCTGACCTTGTGGTTAGCACTCCAATGTTTTATCCTATAGCACTACACCAGGACTCCTCTATAAAGCACACAGGTAATTAAATAAATGCCAAGTAAGGAATGGGTTGCAGGTATGCAATATTTAACATATGAACCTAAGTACATACAAGAGTGGAAGGAATAAAAATGCTAAGGATTGATAGTGAGAAGTTGAGTTTTAGAAAAGCAGTGTTTAGCGCCCTTGAAGTATAAAACAGACTCCTAAAATCTTTCTTATTAAGCTTCATTTCTCAGTTCAAACTTTCAAAAGTGGTCTTTTATTATTATTTTGTCAATTACACACAACTGAATGAGATCCAACAAATCTTACTTTAGGAATTAAGTAGAAGCGTACTCCATAAGATTTTCATGGCTGGACCTTTCTGAAGCAGATCACCAAGGTTTTCTTCCAATGCACGTCTGACTGGACTCAAACCACCAACCTTTTGGTTATCCGTCACACATTTAGCCATCTGCGCCACTCAGGGATCCATACAAAATGCCATGTTGCTGGTAAATGCCATCCTGTCATGTTCAACTGATAGCAACACTGTATAGGGTTTCTGAGGATCGGCTGGGTGAATCTGAACCATAAACCTTTTGTGTTAACAGCCCAGTGCTTACTCTATAGCATCATATCACGATTCCAAATTATTCTCCTTTTTTTTTCAAATGCTACAGAATAAACCAATAAATATTCAAGGGGCTTCAAAAAGTTTCTATTACTTTTAATTCCATTTTCCATTAACTTTTGAAGCCCTATCATTTTTATATGCATGCCATCTCTAACCAGCAGTTTTAAGTAAGAAAAATGGGAAAAATATATAGAAAAAAGCCAACACTAAAAAAGACTATTCAGTGAGTATCACATGCTCTATATGTGTTATCTCATTTAAGTCCCACAAAAATTCCAGGTGGTTATTCTTGCTAATCCTGATTTTACAACTGAAGAAATATGTGAGCTAATTGAGATTTGGAAAGGCTCAGTGTTTATCACTGGCATTGTGCCCAAAACACAGTAAGCAAATAAAACATACCGCTTGCATACACAATAAATGGAAGATAGCAAATAAACACATGCTGATGTGTTCAAAACATGCATTGTAAGATACATCATGGTTATAAAACATAAAACATCGTATTATTAAAGATGTATGTTATAAAATCATATGTATGTATGTATGTATGATGTATGTTATAAAATTATATGTCACTGACAATAATTTCATGTTGTATATTAAGTTGAAGAACCTATCCTATCAATAAACAATGCAAAAGAAAAACAGATTTATATTCCTAGTTCTTCTAATTGAAAGTAAGTTCATTAACCTCTGTGGGCTTCAGTTTTCTACAATTAAACTGAATTTTTGCTTAGAAAACTGCTAAGATCCTTAAAGGTCTGAAGTACTAGACATTTTTATTTGGGTCATCACATTTAAATATAAATCTTAGTAAGTCAGAAGTCTTGGTATGGCACTGCAGGACAAGCACCGGACTGCTAACCACAAGGTCAGCAGTTCAAACCCACCAGCTGCTCCTTGGAAACCCTATATTGGGTCACTATGAGTCAGAACTGAGTTGACAACACTTTACAACACAAGAAGCCAAAATAGTAAATCAAACTTTATAAAGTACATAATAGACACACATTTAATTTTGATGAGCGCATATATTCAAGAAACATTAAATATTTAACCTTTGAACATTTTCACAAGACTCACAAAATACCAAGGACCCTTTTCCTCCGATCCCAACAAAGTGTATTTGCTTATCTAAAAAGGACTTTACTCCATCCTAGGGATATTTAAGTTTATGTTTTTAATTAGATATTTAAACCTTAAATTCTCCTTTGTCCTTCAAAAAGTTTGTGGACAGAGTCTATTATCTTTAATTTCATTTTCCATGAATTTTTGAAGCCCCATCATTTTTATATGCATGCTATCTGTAACCACTTCAGTGTCAAAACCCTAATTTGCTCTGTAGTATCTGACTTATGGGGAATCCTGGTGTGACACTGTGAGTTAATGCACTGGACTGTAAAGTCAGTTTGAACCAAAAGATCAGCAGTTGAAGCTCATCATGGTTGCTATGGGTCAGAACTGACTCCACAGCACTTAGCAACAACAACATCTGACTTATGGAGTCCTGGTGTGGCACTGTAGGATAAGTACTGAGCTGCTAACTGCAAGATCAGCAGTTCAGTGACTCCTCAAAAACCATTAATAATAACATCTGACTCACAGCACTTTTTCTGGTATGCTCCAAAAAAAATGTTGTCTAACTTTGAAAGTTAATAGCAAGTGAAAGAGAAAAGAAGCACAGTTTGTTAATAATTCAGAAGAACAATAAATATTACATGTAACAGGGAATGATTAGCATAATTAGAAAATTAAGTCCTATAATAAACTTTAAAAGTTATAAAATAAACTTTTAAAAAGTCTTATTTAGTGTCATGGAAAAAAAAAAAGTTGATTTGACAGCATGCAGCTTGGGTTTGCCCTTTTCAATCAGTCAGCATGATAAAGGATACTCAATACCAGAATAATATGAGACTCTGCCACGAACTGAGCCTGGCTGCTTCCATGAATGTAGCTCTATAAAACAAGAAAAAAGAAAAAAATTGTAATGTAGGTAAAAGGCATAATTATTTTATGCTTTTAATATAATAAAAATAAACAATGCAAACCTATGCAATAAGCCCTTACTGATGTTCTTTTGAATAAAATAACTACTAGGCCACTAGAAATAACAAGATAAGGGGTGGTTGACAATATTAGAGTTGACTGTAGAAGGCATCTTACTCTCAAAATTAAGATTAATATCCTTTCTTCACGGATTTATCATAAACATACAATGTAATGATTATTACAGCATAATTGTGAAAATAGTATAGTGTGGAGTACAAATTAGAAAAATAATGGAAAGCCATTGCTTCCTGCATTTTCAAAATTTTTCAAATTCATTAGAGCATTTCATTAGAGCATTTACAGGAGTAAATCAAAGAATAATTATGAAAATCATAGAAACCTTTATTGAACAAACATATCAAAATGTGAAGCTACTGTTTCTTGACATATCCTCAATCTAGATCTATATGTACTTCTGAAGGACTATGTACGAACTATGCACTCTTTAACCCTTTTCTGCCAAAATTCTGCTTTTTGATTCCCATCACATCAAAATAGCAGTTTGGACATCCTCAAGAGAAACAAAATTATGTTCCTTTCAAATATTATTTGAATTTTGGTAACAAAAAGAATTCTAAAGGAGCAAAACTGGGGTTGTAGGGTGGATTGGGTAAGGTTTCCCACTGGAATTCTGTTAAGACAGTTCTTGCTAACCTCCAAGAAAGAGTAAATGAATTATTGTGATAGAAAGCAATTACTTTCAATACCTTTGATACCTTTTTTTTTATCAATGCAGCTTTCAATTTTCTTAAACCTTCTTCCTATAATAAGAACTTATGATCATCTTTGTTCTTTGAGAAGATCTATCAAAATTATCCCTTCAGGATCTCAAAGAGCAGACCCCAAAACCTTCTGAGCTAGCCTCTCTGAATTTAACTGGTCCAGCAGACTCTCTTGAAATTTTGAGTGAACCTATTATTATTGCTATTATTTTGGAAGAACCTTAACAAAACTAAGCCAGGTATATTTCTAAGATAACTTATCTCTCCGTTAAGCACAGAGACATGTTTAAACACGTATTGTTTGGGAAAAATTCATGCTTTATAACCTAGAATTTTACATGAAATCTTATTTAATTCCAATTGAGTCTACAATACAGGTAACTGCATTTCAGTTATTTTATAAGTAAGGTAACTGAATTGTAGAGAGGAGAAGAAATTTAGAGAGGTGAAGAAATGGTTGAGAAGGAGCACAGAGACTAGAAGCTGACTGAAGAACTTTATTGTCTCCTCAGTTGTTCCTGTTACTTCCAAGTTCATCCTGATTCTCTATAATAACCTGTTACAGTCCTAGTAAGTTCCATAATTGTAATTATGGTCTTTGAGTTCTGTGTGGCCAATGCAACAAATTATCTGACTAGCAAAGAAATAATGTCATGGTTGGGATGGCTGATAGTAAAACTGGTAGAAAGGTGAAAGAGTGAAGGTCTGACTCACTTTTACATTATAGGAATCAGCTTTTGGATGGATGGTGATTCTCATCTCATTACCTCAAGTTAGGTGAGGTCTGACACTACCATATTATGTTGTTGTTGTTGTGAAGTGCTGTCAAGTCGATTCCGACCCACAGTGACCCTGGATAGGGTTTCCAAGGAGCAGCTGGTGAGCTTGAACTGCCAACCTTGCCGTTCAAATGGCTTTGCAGAGTCTGGCAAATTAACCCACAGCACCACACCAGGACTCCACCCTATTATAGTCAGTTTCATTTCATATCTTGAGTAGTTACTCACTACGCTACCTGTTATTTGTTAGACATCTGACGAGGTATTTCATATATAGTACCCCCCATCATGTCCTTTTGGAATCCTGGTGTGGCGCTGGGGGTTAATGCAAAGCTGCTGGAACTGTAAGGTTGACGGTTCAATCTCACCAGCAGGTCCTTGGAAAGCCTATACAGCATCGCTATGGGTGGAAATGGACTCGATGGCACTTAACAACAACAACAACAATCATGTCCTTTTAATAATTATGTAAAATAGTTACTATCACCTAATATTTCAAATGAGGAGATGGAGGCTTAGAAAAGTTGACTAATTTGCTCAAGATTGTACAACTAGTAATTGGTGGAGCTTGGGCCGTAACCTGAATCTGATTAATTACAAGGTTCATTCCCTTCCAACCACATAATAACAACTTAACGAAAGGGAACAAGAAAATTAAACAATGATTATCACGTTCCGTAAAAGCTTTGTCTTTCAGGAAGAAAACTAAATGTTGACAGCAAAAGTAATTTTGAATATACCAATGCACGTAACAACTGCAACGTAGTTTACCTATAACAGTCACACATTTAGAGAAGTAAGAACTTCAGACATTTTCTAGGTGAGTGATTTCAAGTACTTTTGTTTAGTAATAGAACCTTCTTCAGTGAAGTTTCAACAATGGACTTCCACACTGTCAGATCCTATGGTCACATCTCAATCTTTCTTTACTCAATCTATTTGAAAAAACAACCATATGTGATGATTTCCCCCGGTGTCCTCCCACCCTATCCCCTTTTTGGTAGTATTATCTTTGATTGACTTAAAGAATATTCATCTTCAGTCTACGACTTCACTGACTATTCTTCATGAAACCTTTTGGCTATTCCCTCTTATCATCCTAACTAAAGTCCTGAAGTATGCAAGTTTCACAGATTTAAAGCCTCTCTTTTATACTTGCTCTTCCCAGATCTTCTCATTTAATCACATGACTTTAAATTGTTGCTGTTGTTAGGTGTCTTTGAGTTGGTTCCAACTCATAGCAACCCTATGCACAACAAAACAAAATAGTGCCACGTCCAGAGAACAGCTCTACAATTGTTGTTAGCATTGAGCCTGTCCTGAGCCTATTACAACTGAGCCCCTTGCTGCTGCCATGATGTCAGTTTGTCTCACTGGGGACTTCCTCTTTTTGACTAACAAATCAATTTACAAGCATGATGTCCTACTCCAGGAACTGGTCTCTCATGATAACATATAACATGTCCACAGTATAAGAAACAAAGTCTCATTATCCTGCCTTATAAGGTGCACTCCAGTTGAACTTCTTCCAATACAGATTTGCTTGTTCTTTTGGCAGTCTGTGGTACGATCAGTATTCTTCTCCAACACTGTATCAATTCTTCTATGCTGTTCCTTATTCACTGCCCAACGTTCACATGCATGTGAGGCTACTGAAAATACCATGGCTTGGGTCAGATGTACCTTAGTCTTCCAAGTGACACTTGGTTTTTTGAACAGCTTTAATGATGACCTACACATTTTTAACTCTGGTTTAGTTCTCCCTCATCTCAGACTTGTAGATCCAATCTGATATACATATAACTCAGGAATCTCATAACAGCAAAAACATAAGATGGTCAAAGCCAAACTTTTGATCTACCTCTCTATTTCCAGAATCTACTTTTCATCCATTTCCCTCTATCTCAGTAAAGTACAACTGATTTTTTTCCAGATACTTAGGCCAAAAACCTTAGAATCACCCTTTCCTCTCCCCTATCTTCCTGTTTTAGTCATCTGACACATAGATGACAAAATGAGAGTCCATGGTTATGTCTACTGTTAGTTAACGAACTATTCCTGAGTTAGAGAGTCAGTGAAATAATAAACAATTTCCTGCCAGTGAATTAATTTCTGCTTTTTCTCAGATTAGAAGAAATCAAGTCCTTTATATGTGCCACACCAAATTTAAAACTCACAACCTTGATAGCAAAATATTAAAACAACTAGTCTTTCTGACGACCCCTACCAAATACTGCTTCAGTTAATTGGACTGTGGAGCAAAACTAAACATTAACATAAAAGCAAAGTTCAAAAAATTGCTCAGCAAAGAACAAACAAGATGGCGGATCGGGTGGACATATAGCAGAGAGCTCCGCCAACAACAACACAGAATACCTGACCGAGCAGGCTCAGGGGATGGTCCCAGAACTCTGAACCACATATAAAGGAATACTTAGAAGGTTGGAAGGCTCACAGCTGGGGAAATTTGT